TTGGCGCTCGTATTCTTTGATGTAGCCCATATTTAGGAGTGATTATGTAATCAATTGGATTACGTGTCAATATATCGGACACAAATTACGGGCGCACAATGAACAAATACACATCATCGAGCATGGGATCGTCCAATCATATTAATCAAATTAACAACCGATTAACAAGTAAAAAATCTCCCGTCACGATCGGCCAGCCTCGTTAAGGCTGACAGCCGACAGCGTCGAGGGTCCGTCACAATTAAACCTATTAATTCAAACGTTCTGTTAATCATTAATAAATCAAAGAATTTTCATATAAATTAACGGAGCATTGGAATAGAGTCATAACATTCACTTTACAATTAAAGTGAGTAGGCTTATTTTTTTGCATGTTACGAGTATATTTTAAGTGTCGAAGTAGTTTAAGTAACCAAAATAAGTTCAATACTTATATATATATATTAAGTTTTTTTCTATTGCGCTTTATAACGCTTGAATTAGATAAAAAAATTCTGCAAAGTACCAGTAGAGATTGCAAAGATCTTTTTTTGTGCTGCGTCAACACATTCCTACAATATGATCTTCATGACATGTGTATGTGTGTTCGTATGCCCACCTGTTAGTGGGTTCCAAACCAGCCAATACTTTAAACGATCCCTTATACAGTAACTGTTTTTACTTTAATTAGTGTGGAAAATGATCTAAAAATTATCCTACATTTTTTGTATTGTGTGCAATGAGTCTGCTCTATGTTTCTACATTGTGCACTATTAGTAAACATTACTGAATTCTAATTGACACTTAGATAGATCAAATAATATTTAAACGCAACATACGAATTCTCCTCTTAATACCATGATATTGTTTCTTAAACCAATTGCTATTGGATTAATTTTAATCATCAATAAATACAGCTATACATACAGGGTGGAATTTTGTAATGCCACCTGGAGGGAAAGTACTCCTAATACTGTAGATAGAAAAATTTACTCAAAGAAAACATTCCCTTATTTTTTAAAAGAAATAGAACTGCATTCAAAGATTTCCGATTTTTTTTCGAAAATTCACTACCATACCATAAAATTTTTTGTAAATAATTTAAATAATGTAAGATTTTATGGCTTTCCTTTCATTTGATTTATCAAGTTTGTTAGAGAGATTTCATCCTTATACTTCACCCTAACGATCGATGCAATAAAAATACAGGGTGTAATTTTTAACAGATGTTAGTTGGCTCGATTCCTGAGTATGGCAAGCAAATTTTTGAAAATATTTGAATGCAGTTCTATTTCTTTTAAAATATAAAGGAATGTTTTCTTTGAGTAAAATTCTCTATCTACAGTATTAAGAGTACTTTCCCTCCAGGTGGCATTACAAAATTCCACCCTGTATACCGGGTATATTGAGAAAGCTTTCTTCATATTGATGAAGATTGTCAATAACAAAAGATATTGATTGATTCTAAAATATTTGTACCTACTTAAATACATTTTGATTTGCCGACAGAATCTAATTACCATGATAAAGTAAACACATATTATAATTCTAAATTATTATTGGTATACTGGTAAGTGGATTTTGAACGATTGTTTTTTTTTAATCTTTATTCACACTTTAGCATCCTTAATTGGGTGTTAGACAATAATTAAGCACCTAATTTGAGCGGTATTGTTTTATAAAAACTATTGTCAAGACCACTTGACGACGTCAAATGGTGCTCGCAGATAACTCATCGTCAAGTTCCAATGACGTTGAAACAAAGCGCCTTTGTGCGCCGGCGCAGGAGTGCTATGTAACTTAGGGTTGCTGAGTTGCCAATATTACATAGACGAAAAACCAATTATGCCTACTATTTTCATTGCAATTCTACAGAAGGATCAGGTTCAGGCCAGTATCAGGCCAGGATCAGGTGTTTAGTATTTTTCCTTAAACATACATAGTCCAGAGGCCCTGAGTGATGCAGGAATTGCGGTCGATTGCTCTTATTCTAATCAACTCTTTTATCTTTGGACAACATTTCTTCTTTGCACACCGGTTGAAAGATCCGGTCCTAACTAATAAATACTGAATTTGAAACTAAAAACGTTTGTGCTTTCTATTTCTTTAAAAATATTCAAGCGTTCGTACAGCCCTGGCGTGTCCCGGCTCACAATGTCCGTCCGCGTGTAATCCTCTCTAAGCCGTAATCCGATCCTCCATTGTGATTTTTTGCCTCGTCTTGGGCTACTCGTCGCGTGACGGCCATTGAAGAAGTTAGCCTAATTGTCTGGAACAATTCGATCAATTAACCGACTGAATTCATATTACAACGTCAACAACGATTTAAAACTTTGTTAACTATTATCTACAGTAGGTTTATGTTAACGTAACAAAGTTTATTGATTTCACTTCAAAATCTCAATTGCAGCTCTGATACAAATCTTTTTGCAATCCATTCATTGTCTCAGTCTTGCACTGAAACAAATCAAGTAACGCTAACATGTCGACTGTTACTGTAGCAACTACATGACCCAACGTTAGAAATACAGTTCACTTGTTTCAATGACAATACCAGGAAACCATTTCCCACCCCAATCCCACAATTACACGTCACTTTCCACCGTGCGCGGGCGCAACACACTCGCTCGCGCACCACTTCCCCTGTTTATTTACGGTGTAATTGAGGAAGTCTTTACGCGCACAAAGAGGTTCGCACCTCGAGTGACAGCGGCGCTGCTCGTTGCGGTCAAATTAACAGCCGACACGAAATTATTATGTGCTTAATAACATCCGACGTGTGAATACGTAAGACGTGGAAGCTTTTACCGTTGCTGGTCGGAATAAACTAATAGAACTAATAATTTATTTCATGATTAATACTGTAAAGTAGTAATAAAAGGAATACTTATTAAGAATGCTATATTCGATTGAATGCGTAATAAATACGTGTTTATACCTAACTTTTTCTGAGCTTTTATTAGAGATATCTTACAAAAGCTTCAGATTTTCCAGAACTTTACTTTCCAGTCAATCTAAGGATGCTGGTACAGGCAGCCCTCATCTAAACCATCGGGAGAAACCACCACAAGAAAATCCATTTTTTTTAATACATTCTTTGAATAGTTGCTTAGTATACGTAAACAGCGGTTATTGTTTTAGTAAAAGATTGTTGACTCAAAATATATTTTTTGTACTTGATAGATAAAAGCATATAGCGCAGCATTTGATCGTCGTTAGATTCGGCGCAGCAGCTGCGCGCAATAATAAGAGCGCCTGAATGGTGCCTCCGCCATTGTCTATCGCGAAATTTGATTTGACTTGATTTGCGCCGATCGCTTTGTACTATTGGGGTTCTTGTTGCATCTTAGGAAATCGAATATACCAGCTGAAACTGAAACTTAACCCCTTCAAGCTTTAGGTATGATGCAAGGAATAAACTATGTGTCGGTATAGTCTTAAAAAAACTATCAACATTCTACTAACATCATATTATTATTATTATAACTTAATGAGTAGATACTTGGTGTGAAAAAACTTTTACCTTATAAATGTCCTTATTTCGCTGGTTTAGGTTTCAGCAACAACTCTGTATTTAGCACAGCAGATAGCAGACTGTTGTGAAAATGTTGATATTTCCTTTATTGGAATTACTAACAACAACAACAAAAACTGAAAACCTGTATACCATAATTAAATACGGAACTCTACATCAAGACAGTAAAATTCGCACTAGTCCTTATTTTTTGCGTCGTCCCGTTGAATGGCACAAAGCGTCTCGGATTCCGCTCGCTTTCTAATTCTAATGAGTCTCCTTTATTGACTGCTTATTGAGTGACAACTAATAAGGGGATAATCATAGGCCATAGCTGCGTTCATACTCCAGCACTCTACATATAGGCGGCTGACAGGTTCTCTTTAGTCATGGCCTGAAATTGATTTGTTGTCTACTGCTAGAGTGTGTAATTTTAGTTCTCTGAAAGTTCGTCGACCTTACATTTTGTTTTGACTGGCTAGATCAGTGCTGTAAAGTAGAGTCGACAACCATGAGAGCCAGTCATGATAATCACCAATTATAACAAAACCACAACATATTTATCATCATAACCTCATGACCTACCTAGGTACTATCATCAAAAATCTGGCGAAACGATCCAAAATTATTTCATTTTGATAATGATGAGGCCAATTTAGCACCAGGTAAACGGCTTGTAATCGAATATTAAAAAATCGCCTAACCAGAATTTGAACTAGGGAGTGATATAAGGTGAAATACCTACCTTGCTCTAACATAATTTCAGAGTCGCGTACTACCTGTAAATTAACAAATTTTCTGCATAATTTAGACTAATTAAATTACAAGCTTATCAAAGAAACATTCGTCCGCAAATTGTCTTTTAAGTTCCCTAATTCCGGCACTACACTTGTATTAAGACTGCGCTGAGTTGACAACACCGTCCTCTGGGTTCCAGCCACAGCTCAGACATATCAGCCTGATCATATTACTATCAACCGTCTAGTCTAGTTCAATGGCTATGACGCACATCTACTCTAATACGCTGATTTGTTTTCAAGATAGTGATGGATAAGTTTCTTAGAGAAATCAAAATAATGAACGAATTATTACTTTTATGAATTACTTCTCAGAATTTCAAAAGAAGCTATTTATTTTTATAAATTGACATGTGACCGGAATTCCATATGATCAGGATGTATTGTAGGCCCTTTTCAGGTCACTGTTACACGTCCCAATATACCCCCTAATACTAGCTTTGAGCTCCAGCCAGCTTTTGATTGATTAATCAGAGGTTTCTTATAAAATAAAATAAAATTATAAAATTCTCGTGAAGTGTCAAATAAAATCTCTCAGTGATTAAATTTTTGCTCAGAAAGACAGGCATGAAACTCTTGAGTGTTAGTGTAGCTGGAGACTCAGATTGCACCGGCCGTTGTCACCCAGCTGTGGTGGCGGCTCTTTTAAATTGGAATTCCTCCGAGTGCTTAATTGTTTGGCGCTTAATTAATGTGGTTCTTCGTTGCAGGGTTCCCGCAAATCAAGTCGCCGTACAGCCCTTCCTCGCAGCAGCACCTCACAGGTCAGTCGGGTTTGATTTCATTACCTCTTAATTGCTAACTTTGTTTATTTTATTATCACGGGAACTGTGCCAAGCAAGAAAGGGAGAGAATTCTTATGGACTTGGTAATTTGTTCTTCACAAATAATATTACCTACTGTCCACCCAAAATCTTGTTTGGATAACTTAACGTAAAAGTATAAGTAATCGCATACCTACCTGGTTTTTATTTCAAATAACTGACTACCACTCATTCACGTTTTTCATACATTCACCAGAAAAACAGACCTGCATTTACAACATAGAGCCTTATATGCTATTAATTGAAGTTTTAAAATTATCAGTTTCTTTATAAAAAAAATAGTTTCATTTGCCCGTACCTTTTTTGTATTTGTTCATTGTAATTGATTTCTAAAAATTAATAGTTAAATGACAATATGAACATAACATTCGAAACTCATATTGGGATCATATTTAATGACGCTGTTATTATGTATGTATTTAAAAAAAAAGTATTTAAGTATTACTTATATCCGTTGTCTAGTACCCATAGTACAAGCTTTGCTTAGTTTGGGACTAGAAGCGTGTAAATGTCCAAGGATATTTATATTTATATTATTTGACATTCGCGCTAATAATACGGTTGGCGAAAGATGGTTTCTTTTTAATTCCGTTACAAAATAAACCACCAACGCATCTAAAGATAGTTTAGCAAATAACCGGACCATGAGGACTTTATTAGTACTAACGTATCGTATAAATTATTATATTTGTCCGTTATCTAGCCGCGCACCTAAATGTAGGTAGGCTCTAATATTTGGAGCTGTAATAACTAAACGATGTTGAATGTTTTTGGTCAGTAGCCTAGAATTATTGTTGTTGTTGTATTATAGTTGTATATTATGTAGTTTAGAGTTCTTCAATTCTGTTTTTCAGAGTCTATTTATTAATGCTAAGAGACCTTATAATTTGTAATTAACTTTGCAATAATACCTGTTTGGAAAGCGACATTGTTATAACTATTTTGTTTGAATTTGAGTCGGATCAGGTTATTCTTATATCTATTCCACGTGGAAAGTTTTTCCGTTCATCTACCGCAGTTAGTTCGGGGGCATTGAACAGCTTTCCTAGAAATAGGCGATACATTTGCCCGTGATTTAGGAAAGTGGCTGCGGCGGGGAGGCCCCCACCCCGCCCGGCTTTGTCTCAGTAATGAATCCGCCAAACACCGAACGTCACCGCGCAGCCGCCCGACCCTACCAATACCATAAATCATACATCCACCCACACCCTATCGGAACATCAACTCTATAAACAAACACTTACGGTCGCCATTCCAATGGTTTGCCGACCACAAACAACCTATTCGAAACAACCTTCCTGAAGAATTTGCTTAGGACGTGAGGTTTTAGAAAATATCCTGTTAAATGCAAATTATGGAGGTCGAGATAAAGATATAGCCGGAGGGCCTGAATTACTTAATTATTTAACGAATTCCCTCGCATTGTGTTGTCGGGCGGTGACGTCACCGAGGCTACGCCGCGCTGTGGAAGTGGCTCGCCCTAATATGTGTGTTTTGCAACCCTAGCGTCGCTATGAAAAGCGTTCGGCAGAAACAAACCACCTGCCAACCCCCGCCCGCGCCGGCAGCCATTTGTAAAAATTGCCTTCGCCGCCATTTCTACGCGGGAATTTCATATTTGGAACGCCGCGGGGAGGAATTCGCGCGTAGATTTGACATTTCACCATCATGGCCGCGCCGAGTTATTGTTTATAAAACAATGCATCTCTGATGGCCGTTTCAACTCGCATTGTTTAGCGGAAGACGCCATTTTTAATTTGGAAATTAGGGGTAGTAATTATATTTATGTACGGGGACCTCGGAAACAATGGAAATTATGGCCACAAAAGGCCTTTGGCCTTATTGGCCGAGCTGTAGGCCAATCACCAAAGTACCTTTCACACAAAAGCCTTAATACCAGAAGTAATTTTTCCATCGACGTTGCCTGTTTGTTAATTAAGCATAATGTTGATTGATGTGCTATCTACTGAAAAATACAAACTTCCCACAACACTGTTTGACACACGAACTTTGTTGTCGAAAAAACGTAGTTCCGCAAAGATGTACCAAATCAAACACGACAGGCGTCGACGCGCGACATCGTTAGCGCGCCGCTACAACGTTCTCGATTACACCAAACATTTGGGAAACATTTTTTCTCGAAGACAAGTAGCGACTGTGGTTTGACACATTACGCGCTCCAAGTGTCTCCAGCCAATGAGGATCTTAGCTCATTGTAATAAAGTAGAATGTCGGACACAACGTTTGTGGTAGCATATCAAATGTCAGAGAGGCCGAAGTGGTAGTCGCTAAGTGGCGACTAGTTGTAATAACAAGCAGTATATTAAGGTTGCGGTCTTGCAGCAGATTGGGTGTCAAATGTTGTTTGCTTACTGATTGGAAGAGGATTGTGTTGCTCCGGTTTATTAGTGGCAGGTTGAACAGAGTGAAAGTAAAAATAAAAATGGTAACAGCATTGTTTCCGTAAACAAATCATCCTTATTTACTGACAAACATGTAACAAAAATATCATGACAAGTAGACCATACTTTTAGTTTAGAATGTCTAGCTGCAGCACAAAAAAAAGCAGTTAAGTGTTTCATGTTACTTCAAGCATTTCGTAGATTATCTCATGTTCTTCCCGAATTTCTACTTATGATTTTTATAAGCCTTAAGCTTAATAGGACACTTGTACCTACGTAATTGTTTAATTTCGGATCATTGCTTTGTTTTAATTAAAACTAACCGTGTTTCCCCAATGAGTGTTGCATTAGAGCCGTAACCGATCTCGGCCGTATCGTGGGAGAGCGCCGGTGCGTATTAATAAGCGGGTCCGCGCAATTTCCGAGACTCCGCAAATACAGGCCGCTAATTGACTCGCCAGCGGTGTCGGGTTACGACAAATGGCTCGTAACTAGCGTCCTTTTTGGATCTATTTTGCTCTATCGTGCTTTAGTTTGGACTTCACGCGACACTAAAAATATGCGTTAACATGACAAGGCAAATACATTTTTCAGGGCTGATGACCTGGTCGCCGTGTGTCGCGATCCGCAAAAAGAATTCGAATACTAAACAATTAGCTTTGAATTTAAGATGGTTTTGTTTAGTCTCCGTTATTGTAGTTTCTCTACAATTTATTCCGCTAACTTCAAGTTACATTTCTGACCCAGAGAAACCGCAATATCATAAAACGATTGAAACAAAAATAAGGATCTTAATTAAAATATCAATAATAACGTTACCTTTTTTATGTTTAGGTATTCGATACACAGGGTTTGTTTAATAAAATGTAGATAAAAGGCCATCTAATCATATTCGCTCAAAGCCGCGTGCTCACGGCGGAACAAACAAACTGAGCAATTATTCTCGCGTTGTCTCTGCCGCGTGTTGCAGGCAACATGAGGATATACATATAATAATAAATAAATAAATAGGTGCAATTATGTTTATGCTGTCTCAGCGCAGAGGAGCGATTTATGCATGACTCATTGAGCGCGAGGATTACATCTTGTTAGCATAAACCACTTGTTTAAATGTATATTTGGATTATCAAAGCGTAATAAAGTTACACAGTAAAGTACAGTAGCATTTTTATTAAATAGTCCCACATTTATAGAAATGTTTACACACTGCTATTTTTATTATGGATCATCATCATCATCAATTCAGTCACAGAATGTCCGCTGCTGAACATAGACTATTTTATATAATGCTACTTGGGCTGATTTGAACCATTACGAGTTTGATTTAGAAATGTTGTTACTTGATGGGATTTCACTAATCTACTTTTAAATTTTTTTTATTACCTACTAATTACAATGATAAAGTAATGACCTCTATCACAACGTAAGCGTAAAACCTAACAAATTAAACATCTATCATCGATTAATGCGCGTCATAACATCATACACAAAAATGTAGAGTTTCAAATGATATCGTGTGTTTTTAGCATCGTGTTTACTAATTCGTCTACCCGTTATTGATTAGTGTGTAGGAAAGAAAGCTATAGCATAACGCTATAATCGTCATAAATCCATGTGTTTCATTTCACATAACCCACGCTCAGCCCTCAACACAGTTACGTAGAGTAGAAACGAATAATGTAATCATATTTCCACCGTCTCACGCCATAAACAAGCAGCCCTCGGTCCAAGTCAACTCTCCCCATTGTCGTCCCCACACTGAAGATAATTTGAGCCAAAAAAACAGCGAGCCCGGCGATGCGGGAAAATATAATGGCCTGGCAATATTACACTTTCCACTTCCTCAAGACGCGGGGTGGGCGGGGCCGCCCGCCCTGGACACCCAACTGCTACTTAAATAATCACGTATTGACTTTTTCTGGAGGCTATCTACCTATGTACTCGTAACTAAAGGAGTTTTAGTAAGCTATTCTCTCATGTTATGTTTTATAAACTAGTAACTAACATAAACTCGTGAAGTAAACAAAGAAAATCTTTGTCTTTCATGTAAAATTGTTAGATAGTAGTTAAAATCTGACTGAAACCGTTTTAATTCAACTATCACATGAAGCTAACAAAATAACTATCACAAAATTGAGAGTAGATGCCTTTAAAGTTGCCAATTAGACTGAATTAATGTAACATGAATAGTCATTAGCAAGCAGACACATGATAAGTAGAGTCTTAAAACAAGTGTTAGGCATAAATATTTCTTGCTCAAACCGATTGTTTTGTAGTCTCTGACCAGACTGGGTCCGACTAAGATTTAGATTGTTATTAAACTTATTCTTGACCGATATCAGAGCTGATGTCCATAACACTTATTAACATGCCTTAAACTTTATATTACGTTGAAGATTATGACTGATTCATAATCGACAAACCGTCAACCCCTGACTTCGACTTAGTCATACAAATACTAGCCGCGTCAATGGGCCCGCCATACATAGCAGCCATCCTGCCTCCTCCCCCCCAGATGACAACAATAATATTTTACGATTAGAACAAGGGCCCCCTCCCCCCACCCCGAGGCCACTGATCGTATAATGAATTAAGCACCAATAGAACGACCAATTTGTCTGGGCGCTCCACCAGACGATAATGGACTTAATCTCCTTATAACAAGGCGCTTATAGAAGCACCGCTGAGTGGTTTTGGAAATATCAAAGTGAAAGGCATTAGCAATTATAATAGGCAGTGTCTTGAGGCGAGTGCCTGCTCATTACGTGGTAATTACATCTTTGTGCCTACGTGGCCGCCAGCGAGGTCATCAGTTTCTCGCCCGATATTGGCTGTTGGACTCGAGTACGGGTAAAATGAACTTTGAGGTTTGAGGAAATAATAGCACATATTATAGAGGTATTAAACCGTGTTTGGCACAGGTGACTTCATACGAACACCATACAGTGTATTATGTCGTATCGTAGTCTGATGTAGCTGTATTATGTCTTTGTCTTTTTCAGGTTTTAAATATTAGCCTATATATTTTTATTTATTTCATAGATACTATTCTTCCAAATTAACTAAAAAACCAATCTAACTGTCAATACTTTTACCATAGTATGTAATGTAGAGTCCCTTAGGTATTACGTTTAATACAATTAAAACAAATGATCCATAATTGTACCCATAGTTTAATAAATGTAATCAGATATTCTCTCGTTTCTCGTTTTAATCAGTCGCTACCCCAACATCAAAAGGCAACTTTCTTGCGGAACTCCGATACTTTTAAATAAATAAGCGTCTCCGCAGACCCTCGAGTCATCACAACTACATTCACTCACCAAATTGGACGGTGCAATACCTAAGTATATTCTTACATTCAACAATATCGTTTTCAAAAAGTCAGGGCCGTAACGAGCCCCCAGGGGCGGCCCCCAAAAATCATTTTCCTCTGCCCCCGGCTTTCCCGGCGCGACACGGCGTTTAGCTAAATACGTGATAATATATCTCTATAATATTGAGGGGAAAATTGGACATTTGATATAATGATGTAAGAATATACCGGAATCTGAGGGTGTTATTTGATTGGGATGGAAAGTCATACGTTGGCTCTATTTCAGCTGCTAATGTAAGTTTTTATTCTTATGAAAACTAATATTTGGTACCTATTTGTTTTTAAAGAAACTGGCGGATTCTACGACGCATTTCGTTATTTTCTTTATTAACTGCAACTCATTGAATTTAATATTTTATCGTCACGATTCAGGTGTTCGTGGAAGGCTCTCAATTATTTCCCAACTACGCAAATTGACGTATATGCTTAAGTGGGCGCCTCCTTAGCTCCTCGAAGTGGCAATGAAACAATGGCAATAATTAAACTGTAACATGTTTATTGCGTAAATGCTTCGTTATCCCATCGGGCGACAAACAGACAGACGCGTAGGTACGCCACATTGGGATTGAGACCAGTAAACTCACTCCTCGTTTCACGTTCGTTTCATTTTTAAAAGAGAATCAAACTTTTTTATCAGTTGATCCGCGATTTGTGACAAGCTCTTTTTCGTAAACTTTTAAATTGTATCAACTCGAATTACTAAAAATATGGTACACTGCTTTTGGTTATCACTTCACATTGTTTTTCTCGATTAAGATAACCAATTTCTTGCAAAGAGACATTTAAAGTTCATTTTAGTGACTTCAAACGGCCTGCTGTAAGTGCAAGTTGTTGCCTTTGTAAATGAGCCTGCTGTATCCAACTTATATTGTCGAAATAGACACGCAGCCTACAGTAATTAAGACGTATTGTGCTTTGTGTTTGTTCGAGCACCTGATTACAAGTATTCAGCGAGGTTTCGCCACGGGCGACTGAAATGTTTAAGAGACAATGATGTAATTAATAGTGTAAAAGGCAATCGCCCCCATTCCTTAAGAAAGTAACACACAAATAGTTTTAATTATGGGTAAAGTGTGTATAGTTGTGACAAAATGAACTATTATAATGTTATCAATTGAATCTGTTTAAGTTTTCATAAAAATAATTTCAATATACAATAAACGATAAATATTACTACAAAAATCTACGTCACTAAGTTACTTACAATAGATTAATTAATAGAATAGTTCATAATATTGTTTTGTTTGCAATTTTCCCTTTGTAAGTTTTATGCGTCCTATTGTAATTTATAACCATTAACACTGCCATTACGATAAAAACGTGGGCTAGAGTAAGAAAAAGCTGCTCAAAAAACTTAAAATTTTCAGTAAATTCAAGAAGTTATATAATAACAGTAATATTTTACTTTGTAATTTTAAAACAAAGTATCAGTCCATCGAGCTCTACGATAGTCAAAGTTGGAAATAAATCAAAATGAGTTAACAAATCCTAATGAAAAAAGTAAGTTTTCCCATCTCGACTGGATCCACGAACATTTAATTAAAACTCAATTACGCCAGTCGCACGGCTAAGTTTGCTTTCGAAAACGTTTTGTTTTGCGGATTTTAGCGGAACTAAAGTGTGGTAATCTTTGTTTCGGGGGGGTAGAGAGTATTTTGCGCGGGCAGCGCCACCGCGCATTGTGCGAGCGCAAACAAGAGCAAAACTGAGAGATCATAATATCTGGATAAAGACGCGCATTATGTTCGTTCCTCGATTTTTGTTAACACCTGAGGTAATGCGATCCGGGTGTTCGCGTTTTGGGCTAACTTGTTGAGGAGCTCGCCCCTTGAGAGAGTTAGGTTTAGTCATAACCTCGCTTTGTCTTCGGCTGAAGAGACTATGATGATTACGGCCTTAAAAGGAAACGTATTTTGGAAGCTCTTGAATTAAGCTAAAAATAAAACTTATAGACATACCCTTCAGAAGAAGGCCCCTTTGTTCATGACGTAATTTTGACTCTACCTGCTTTCAAACGAATCTGCAGGTTTTGAACGTTATTTAGAACTTAAGTTTTTTTTATATCGCAAATTTTAAGGATGTCGAATCTTATTAACTTTTCGTAAAACGTTTTTTTTTCAACTGATTTCAATTTGCTCTAATATTAATAACTGAGCTCCACATTTTTTTTGTAAGATAGCATCATTGAACTAATAAATTTTATCCTTACTCAGTGATGAAAATTCATCAAGTACTTTATAAATCATCAATGACCAATCCATACTAATTACTCGTACTAGCATGGTATAGATTTCCTTTTTTGTGCCCTAACATCACTAAACGCTTCCATTTATTTATTTTCCAACCTGTTTATTATTTTCTTTATTTTAATTGTGTTGTTTTGTTTTGTTTCATGTACTAGCCGTACGCCAGCTGTACTCGGGTATGACGTCGAAAGGCGCAAATTGCCAATTTCTTACTCTCAGCTCCCCAGCGACTCATCGCGATGTCTAATTTGCCCAGAATCCACTTACGCCGCGAGAGACGTGTTTTTCCTAAAGCATTTCTGGCTGTGCCCGTAGGAAGAATGTTTTGCCAATTTAACGCATCTTTGATATGGGAAACGAAACGACACGATCTTATAAACGTAACTGGCATCGTGCATGTACAGATTGCTTGTCGGCAAACGATTTGGCAAGACATTAATACCTACGTAGATACCTACGAACGACTCAAATATTATTCAATACCTCTCATTTGTTACGGAACACTACAAGTGTAAAGCTTAAATGCATCATTTCCAAGTATACTTTAAATATAGTCAGGATAATTTCTAGGGTTTGTTACAGACGATGACACATTAAATCTATATTTAGCAAAAAGCACTTATTTCAATTACATGTGACACACATAGGGGAGGATATTGTTAAGTAGGTAACTTTTTGTGCTCCATAGTGTGCTTGATATGGCATCGCCTGTACCTACAAAATATACCACAAATTAATTAGTTCCTAATTTAATTAATTTCAGTTAACTCCTAATAACTTTTCTAATCAAGTCCCATTAGGATTTTTACTTGTTTCTAAATTGATTTTCAATATTGTAGGTACGTTCTAGTTTATTTGTTACCGCTTCAGCTTTAGTATTTCCAAGACTACACCAATATGAATATGTTACATTCAATAAAGTTTGTCGAGACACCAAATATTGTCGCGTAAATTGAGTCTCAGTCAACAGTGAGCCCTCAAATATAATGTATCGGATTCGTCCGCGGCGCATATTGGGCCAATCTCGGCGGGATTGCCAATCGCGGCCAATCTCGCGCCGTCGCGGGATTGCATTTGGGATCTCACACTTGTCTCGAGACGCGATGTTTATTTTTCGACGGCAGATCCGCGCCACACCGCGTAACCCAATTTGACTGATCTAAAATGGAAAATCCTACGTCAATTTGCACCGGAGATTTCTCCGGGCTCTATAATTGCGCTAGTCTTTATAAATATTCAGATGGTAAGCAAACTAGAACTTACCGAATCAAATATTATCCCTGACTTCACATATTTATATGATAAGTCGAAAATCTTCAGATGTATTTGTACCTATATTGTGTGTCGTATTGTGACAAATTGTTTGAAACATTTGGAACTTAAAGTTAATGTAACGACAGCAAGGTTATTCACATTCTAAGTAGATTAGAGCTAATCATTCTGACCTGATATTATCACTTTCTATTAGGTGACATAAAATCCTAAAAGCTTCACCGATGTACTTAAAAAGAACCAGTATACCTTCATGTATATTCGTAGACATCTAAAACCAGTCACTTTTGCAGACGGGCCTATATTCTGAGAGGACATTTCACTGACAGAGTCTAATTTTAGAATCATGATCTGAACTCGTTCTGATACTCCTTCTTTTACATCTTGTATATTTGAAAAATCTTGGCGTCTAGACAGGGTACAAAAAGAATTTCCTTCTTTGATATCCGAGCTCGCAACAGTCGTAGTAGAGTTGCTAATATTCTTATTTCCCTTCCTGAGAGGTAAGCACCGTCTTTTTAAACTATTTTATTGAAACTTAGAAGTGCCACGACATCTTCTAGGGGCAATAAGCAAGATAAGCACCGATACTAGTGGAGTAGTAGGGTTGATAATGATTTTATACTACTTATATCACTAAAATAATTTAACTAGGTACCACTTATTATTTAAAAGACATTTGGAATTTAACACCAAGATACTGATTAATTTACGCTGATATGTATTCTTAAATACATACAAAGTTATCATTAGCATATGTTGTTGTCGTCGAACAACGACGTATCTGCAAAATGTTATCTTGCACAAACACGTCTCTGTACTGCGTTTGAATAATCTCATCAATCTATGTTTGATTCTGTAGCTTTGATATGTTTATGAAGTTTGAAAAATAAAAATAATTTTATATAAAGGAGCTACTTTAGAGTAGTTTAATGCCAAAAACAGACCTTGACAGATATAGACATGCGACGTTGTTCGACGACGACGGCCATTTATGTTTTTAGGATCTCCAAACTAAAATCTAATAAAGTATACTTAGCTGTTTGTGAAAATATTGCTTGTAACAGGCAGTCATGAGAGTCAAGAGTACGGTTAAAAAAATTCATAACTATCTTAAAAGCCTAGCTCATATGCTCAGGTCATCGCCCCACCTTCAGGACGTCTCATTAACAATAAATGCTTATCTTATCTTATCTTATCTTATCTTATCTTATCTCATAATGGCTGCGTAGCGGTCAGCTGAATGCGGGCGGCTGGACAGAGGACACGCGCCTCACAGTTGTCTTTTCACAGCTACAGCCTCAGGCTTTTCATTTGTACGAATGAGAGAGACTGTTTGCTTAGACACCTTTTTTCTTTTATAAACACTAGCATTTGCTGTGGCTTAGAAGCTAGTTATGATATCAGATTCAAGCTGATGAAAATATTGATACAAAATTAATTAATATCAGAAAAATATGTTTTTCGGACAAAATATGTTTTAGCTTGACTTTTAGTACATTTTTTAACTATTAGTTTACATTTTGTTAATATTTAACCATTAGTAACAAAATTTAACAATTAGTAGTTACCTATTTTAACTATGAATAAAAAAAAACTGGGCGTGAAGCACATTGTAGTTAATCAGATAGCCAATTAGCAGTGTTTATTATTATGCTTCTTCATTTAATTTAAAAAATAGTATTATTAATTTAATTTCATAGACAATTTTTTGTTGCAGAGTCATTGCCGAATAAATAAATAAACATTACATTATTTTCAGTAAAACAAAACATTGCTCTTGTTTTTGCATGCTACATCTCGCCTCTTACGCTTGGCGCCATCTATCAGGTACTGGAGCAATTAAACACTTTACGAATTTTATTTCCAAGTTTTCTACCTGTTAATTACCTACATTTAATTTTATAGTCTCAATTAAAGATATTGAATTAACAAACATTTAAAATGTTTTATAGAGATCTAAAAAAATATAAGTAGTTTGAAGTGAATTCATAAGACACTGAAATTAAACTCCGTGCTTATCCAATTCACTATTCCCATTATTTTTGCATTTCAGTGTAGAAGACCACGTTTTTTATCGCCAATAAAATATTCAGCGTGTTTGCGTACGGTGACGTCACAATCCAGCGCGTAAAGTGGCAGTGTTGCTCTCACTACAAGTAGCTTTCGTTTCCTACGAGGGACCGACCTCTCTCTACTCCTCTCTACATCCCAGTGTAATAACGACCCTAAATCTCAAACTTTAAGGTATCAAATAGCTTGATAATACAGGTCGTGTCGCCGCATAGATTATCGGGCGAGGCCCCTGTAGTGTGTACGCATCCTTTCCCCATATTAGGCATAAACCACTAGTATATAAGCTTAGGATAATCTTCATTCTACTACGATTAAACCTACAGTGCGCACATCGAACTGTTTTATTGTGTCTCCCGAACGTCACACATTACATGGCGACCCTGCCAGTGCTGCCTATGGGCAGCGCTGCGCAATCAATAAATCATTAAATAAATAAAAAGTGAATTCGCGAATAAAATTTAAAATGTGAACGGACCGAATTACAAAAGACTTTCGTCTACAAATCAAATATGAAGTGAACATTTTTGGTGAATTATGGAGACCACATTTTGGATGGCGTAAGATGAAAGAAATGCAGCCGCGTTAAACCTATAAATAAATGAAGAAATTTTGAAACTGTGCTGGGCGTAGCTGCCGGGTGACGATGGTGCTGGAGGACATTGGCTGACGTGTGAGGATATTTAGCTGCCGGGAGATGCAGAAGGTGCGTGATGATGGATTGGCGCAAAGATCTTAAAACATGTCCCTATAAATTATAAGACTATGCATAGCAAATGACTTAATGTCTAATAAAATATAATTAAAAGTCGACTATAAATAAAATAAAAAACTGTACCAAATATTATGAAAGTTTATAAAAATAAAGGGGCCGGCCCAGTGAAAATATTGTGTAATGGATATTATATTGACAAAATGATAATACATAAAAGGTACCTAATGAAGACTTATTTATAAGCTACGAGTTAAAATGACCGAGCTTAAAATGATCTTATATTAAGACAATGACTATGACTAAACTTATGATTATGAAGTATGAGTATGTAACGGATATCTGATAAGGATAAGGCTTATTGAGTGTGAAATTTTATGAGGAAATGTGATGCAAATCAATATGAATATGAAGTAACCAATATCATAAAGAAGAGTATTAATTTAAAAAGGAATGTTTCTGCCATTTCATTCACCTTTTTTAATATCTATAAAATCAAACACTACTTAAACTATTTAAAATGTCTTTATCAATTTAGTAGTAAAGTATTCTTACAACAAAACAATTATAGCTCCCAATGTATAGGATTATTTTACAATTTACTTAAAAAAAATGGGGTCATAAACTTAAAGAAAATCATAAACTATATTTTTATGATTCTATAAATTTTTAAAGTACCAATTACATTGTTACTAACTTTTGTAAAAATGAAATGATTCGTCTTCGTCTTATTTAGGTAAGCATAGTGATTAATAATATTCGTTATAATAAAATGATGGTTTATAGCCTAATAAAAATAAAAATTGTAACTATGTTATTCAAAATTATCAAAATTAATTATTGAAATGACTATTTGAATGACAACCTAATGATTCATGTAAAATTATTTTTTTATTTTACTGTGAATTTCAATGTTTATTTGTATTTAATTATTNAATAATTGTTTTAATTGTAATTGCCTATATTTCAACTTGATTATTTTACTATTTTATTGGAAATTCAGTTCAGGTTCAAAAGCAGCAGGCTTTTAATTTTTATTGGCTGATATTGTGATGAAATTATTTAGCAATCTGTTAAAATCTTGATGTAACAAAACAGTAACATAATATTATAATGTATAAAATCAATATTTTAAATAGGTATACCATTATATTCCAACAATGTAAAATTCAGATCTTATCATTTCTAAAAATCGTAATGTTCAACTGAGACAGCTTTTTATTACATCTATAGAGTATTTTATCTAATTCATTTGCATTTTAAAATTTAATGAATTGAGCCTATTTGAAAATGTATTTTTTATCAATATAATTTCAATCATATTAATGAAATATTAGTATTGTGTCTATAAACATACATATTTGGAATTTACAAAATTTTATTTGGTTTGAATTATAATTTAAAATCAAAATTATTATTGTATTGTATAATTTTTTTAATCAAATAAAAAAAAAACTAATGTTTTTTCTCAAAAAAAAAGGGGGGAGGTGTAGTGTGTACGCATCCTTTCCCCATATTAGGCATAAACCACTAGTATATAAGCTTAGGATAATCTTCATTCTACTACGATTAAACCTACAGTGCGCACATCGAACTGTTTTATTGTGTCTCCCGAACGTCACACATTACACCCCTAACGACCCAGGTTACTGTCAAGGATCAATAGAAATGTTTTAATTTAGGTAAATAAATATTTGTAAAAACATTGTTAGTATTTGTAAAATAATTTGTATGTAGCTGCATAATTGGTATAGGTATTAGGCTTCTAATTAATATATTCTTGTGACTCTACTAGGACATTGTGTAAAGGAATCAGGTACAAATTATATTTTTTTGGTTGTTCATTGTCCGAGTTCACGTTTCTCTCAAACCAAATCTAATAATCGTAAAGGTAGCAGGGAAGCGCTGGACGCAGGCCGCTACCAATCGATCAACATGGAAAGCATTGGGGGAGTCCTATGTTCAGTGGACGTCCTATGGCTGAAATGATGATGATGATGAAATCTAATAAAAAAATTTTTTCGTTTGCATCATTCATACATTACATTAACATGATCATGTATTTTTACATACTATACCTGTAATATTCAACTTGTACCATAATTGTTCAATTGTAGTTTCATACGAAGAGACATATGAAATATTTTTTCACCTTTTTCTTAATTTATTTTTTAACCACCGTAGTTGGAGGTGCTTACATAAATAAATTCTAACAAAAATGTGAAATATTCTCCTGTTCGTACTATTGTGGCGGGTTTAACATATCGGATTAAACAGGTATTCTATGTGCATAATGTTTCTTTCTCCAATGATCAACTAAATTATTTTTTGCGTCAAAAGTAACGTGTTCATTCAATCAAATGAAATCATAAATATTGAACAGTCAATTGAAACGTTTCACGCGCCCCCTGGCGGCGGCGTGTCGAATGCGCGGGCGCACGATATCGCTTCACGCGTGTTAGCGCACAAAGAACAACTGTTTGTTTTGTAGCTACCGATTAGTTTGCTCAGTTACAATGGGTAAAAAGTTTCACTATGGTCTATAATTTTTGTTTAGCAAACAAATAAATCCACTCAAGTTACATGTTGGGCGCCAAAAGTTTAATTTGTGAAATTGAGATTTGAAAATTGATAAATTTGATTGGAACTAAGGTTGAAAATGAGTTAAAAGCACTAAATGTAGCCTGTTTCATGTACCTAGGTATATTCGTTTTTTGTTTAGGGTTAAGTATAGGTATAAAACGTTCGAAAAAGACACGGAAAAACAACAAGCCCATTTGCTCATCCATCGACACGCCAACATGCAGCCTCAGTCCGCATTCCTCACCAAGTCAGCAATGTAGTAATCGTATCATCGTTCCAAGTCCCAAATTTAATAATTCATTGTCGTATTCATTGGCGACAAATTCAATTACGGGCGTCCCCTGGCACCGCGTCCCCTGGGCCCTGGCGATTCTGTTAACCCGTCGCGACCTGCTCACTAATTCATTCGGCAATCACATTCTGTAATTATGTGACAAATCCCTTGTTGCGGGTGTTGCGCGCCGAGGGGATCGCGCTCGTTGGGGTTAGTGGCTAGTTGATGGGATAACACTTTGGGAAATTGGTATGTTTAGTTCTTTAGCGCATTTTAGATGCAGTTTGCATCAATATGTTAATTTAGTTTATTGACAGCGCAAACTGCAGTTAAAAAACATATTGTAACTTAACCGATTCGGATATTGCTTAAACAAAGTTCGTAGATTGCTACGCCGTAGCCTCGTAGAAAATTCGTAGCGTTGTAGCAAACTAACGTCTATTGTTTTAAATAATAATGTAACTGCTTGTTTTTATTTCAAATATTAACGCAAAAAAATACCTATAATTTGATCTGCTTGTATTAATACTTAGCCAAAACCGGGCAAATTTATGTAATAATCTGAATATCTAACGACTAAAAATACACAAAAACTTCTATCTGCGATCACTGTAGTGTATCAGTTGATGAGCGAAAAACTAAAGATTAAAGTGTTACTATACAGTTTTTTTAGACCATTAGTATGACATTTTGTCCACCTCATAAGTACATGTATTAGTTTAGTTACAGCTGCAGCTTGCGAGTTCAGCAAGATCCTACTTAACCTTGATGTTTTGTCGTAGGTATGCCGTCCCTGGACGCGGCGAAAGACTTCACCGTCGACGGGCTCACCGGCTACAACGGCAAGAAGAAGAAGAAAAAACGCAGACACAGGTTTGTTTCAATTACATTACATACCCTAAATTAGATTATTATGTCTTTGAGTGGTCGAGTGGTTCTACGTATGAAATTATGACATGTTAATTTTGCTCTTTATAATTTTTTCATGTCAACGCCTAAAAACGTTGTCGTTTCATATTTTATAGGCTTTTCTCAAAATTACTGCTACGTTGGGTTTTCAAAAGATATTTTGTGTCACATTCGTAGCACCATTATGTCTGTAATAATTATCAACTTGATGAACTACCGTCTTATTCATTGATTGTTATCGTTAAATTATGACCATAAATCGATGTTACACCTAGACGTTGTTTCAATTATGACGGTAGTCCTGTCACAGCATATTTGTGTAGGAAACTTTCATTTTACAATTAGACTTATACCTGCTGCCGATCTAGGATGCGCGCCATGATATAAGCTATCGTCCATTTTAGTCGAAAATTTTTCGTCTAAAATAGATAAAATGCCTCATAAGACATTATAACAGTGCTCATCCTAGGTTAGCAAGTCCGTCATTAGAGAAGAATCTGCACTTATGCCACTGCTAACCACACCCATTTGTTCCTCAGCCGAACCATCTTCACGTCGTACCAGCTGGACGAGCTGGAGAAGGCGTTCAAGGACGCGCACTACCCCGATGTATACGCGCGCGAGATGCTCTCCCTCAAGACCGACCTGCCCGAGGACAGGATACAGGTCAGTCCACAACCTACTAAAAAATATCGGACTTTTCTATAAATTCCTAGGGGGTTGACTTTTATAAAAACATTTTTTGGACGTCTAAACACATATACCAAACAACTGCTTTTGGGAAAACACGTAGGCTAGTGTTGAAAAAAAGCAGCACTAGAAATTAAGTTATTATTGTCAGCCTCTGTGCAATAATTTTACAGTATTGACTCCAGCTAAAGGAATTATACAGGTAAAGCTCATTGATGATTTGATGCACTTATTGTACCTTTACATAGACATGTTCAAAAGTAATAAGTATTATAAAATTGAAACTAAGTAGGTACAGTGTGTATTATCCTGTAAACAAAAGTTGACTATACCTATCTTATTTAGTTAATTTAATTGGGGAAGATGCTAGTGCATAGTGTTTTGTACAATTCTTCGTCAAATTATACTTTTGAGATAGATTTGTTTATGAGTGAAGTCTTTTAGGAGTTTACTTTTTGTTTCCAAAAATCATATCCTTCCAATAAATAGGAAGTCAACCCGACAAAAATATCCTTTGTCCGTTAATTTAATTTAAAGGGCGATTGAATTTAATGGCTCTAATTTTTTCGACATATCGAATTTCTTTTGACAACTCTGCAGATCTTTTGCGGTTTTTTTGCTAATCGAATTAGACAGAAAAAATCGCAATGAATTGGACCGTTAAGGCCTTCAATGGTGAAGAAAGACTTCTCAAATATCTGAGAGACGTATTGCCAATAGTCGAAGTCGATTTGGAACTCGACACCGCGGTAAACGTACAACCCACTTTTTAGATTTTTGGGGTTCCTTCGAAACACGAAGTTCGAAACTCAATAGTTTGCATCAATATTTATTTAAAAACTAGCTTTCCGCCCGCGGCTTCGCCCGCGTGGATTTTTGTCTGTCACAGAAAAACTTTATCGCGCGCGTCCCTGTTTCAAATACCGGGATAAAAACTATCCTATGTTCTTTCCCGGGACTCAAACTATCTCTATGCCAAATTTCATCAAAATCGGTTGCGAGGTTTAAGCGGGAAAGCGTACAGACAGACAGACAGACAGACAGACAGACAGAGTTACTTTCGCATTTATAATATTAGTTGGGATATTGGATAGGTAAGTATATTTATTTAATTTAGACTATTTTATTTTATTTTGGAAAAATGGAATGTGTATGTTTCTTGTGTAACTTACTATGTATAATTTCATTAATTTAACAAACGAGATGAAGTTAAAAAGGTGTAGATTTTAAAAATCCACGTCGTAAAGTTTTAAATATAATCGATTTTCGGGTTTCATCTTAGTGAATTCGTTGTTTCACTTATACATAATATAAAATAAAGGCAGTTTTGAGATTTGAGAAAATATTAAAGTCACTAGGTACAAAATTATTCATGTTATTTAAAGAAGTTAGATTCAGCCCCTTAATTTTAATTCAAATCAACCTTGCTCAATGTGATGTGGCTATCTTATGCCGTCAAATTATGTCACAGATGATTACCCCAAAAATCTCTATCGTATTAAATGTTTATGTTTGTTTAAATAGACCACTTAATTTTTTGTGTCGTTTTTTCCTTGTGGCTGAGTGCGGCCCGGATTAGGCCTGTGTAGCACATTCGACACCCGGCGAAACGAGACACCTCGCCTCTGAATACTCGGAAGGAAACTTTTTTCTACACTCAATTGTGCAATAAGTGATCCGTTTAAAACGGGCTGAGATTTCGTGGATTTTGGAATCAATAATGAATTGATTGATGAAAAATGTAGAGACGGAGAAAGATTTGATCAAATGAATGAAATTATTCTAAACATGATTACTTGCTAACTGCAGATAAATAATTTCAGCTTATAGACACCACAGGCTTTAATGAGGCTATTTTAGATATCTAACCAAGTCTCTAAGTTGTAGTTTGTACGTTGAATACAAACCAAACGACATTAGTTAACTTCCAAACTAGCAGCTACATATTACGTGTTTTGCATCAGGCTGGACCGCAAACAGTGGAGCTTCGCCCCCGGATCTCCCGCCTTATATTGTACGCGTAATTATTACTAATAGTTGTCTGTCCGCGCGCAGCCCTCCTACACAAACTCCCGCCTGCCGCACCCCGCCGTCCCCCACAAACATACATTTATGAAAATTTCATTTTCCAAACTCACGATCCTCACCCAAACCAAAATAAACCCTAACCTAACCGCATAAAGTTTAGTGCTACTCAATTTCCTCCAAGAGGAAAACTCTACTATCTGCGCTGTGAAATGAAACGTATCGCACCAATTTTAAAGTGCGTTTTTGAGTGGGCTGTCAAGATATGAGTAATGGCGGAATTTCGGTATAATGGCTTACTGGGGATTAGGTTTCCCCAATTCAGTCGGTTGTGAGACGTTGCAATAAATGGATTATTATGCAATCAGACGGCTCCGTGTGCTTATACAGTCTTAACAATGTTTTTAAATTATTTTTATGCTGGATCCTCTTTTGTATTGGTACATTAATATTCTTACAAATGAAAATTTGTCTTTTTGTATTCTAAACACATGAAGGTTTGTTCTTTCACTTGTTTCTTTTATAAGTGAATGCTGGGGAGAATATATACTTAAATAATATCTGTTGAACATAGCTTCTTACATTGATGAAAGTAATAGCTGAAAGAATTAGCTATATTACGAGCAGTTATGTCCATGCAATATACTTGCAGACTCGCATACTACTGTGGGGCAAAAAGTAATTATGATAAACTAAACATTTTTAATGCACATCATTTACTAAATTACCATAACTTGGACAAAAACGAATAGTGCAGTAACATAATATAGGTATTATATTTTCATCAATTTATGTTCTTCCACTAAAAAGTAAAACTTGTAAATGTTTACGTCTGTAATAAAGTTATTTTTTTATTATGAAGATATTACATGCTACTAAACTCTATATTCATATATCACTGGACCCTTTTATTGAACGTAGGGATCCATATGAATGTGAAGGTCTTGTAATGTGATGTAAATGCAAAATTTCAACAGACAAAGCTAGTTTTTTACGATAAATAGTAATACTATATGCGTATTTTTTTTTGTGTATTCTTCATTTTAAGCAACCAAATAACTTCAATCAAATTCTGTTTTTGTAAATTCCTTACTTCGGCGTTATAATAATTAAAATTATATTACAACAGTTCGGAACATCTCTAAATTGAAACTAACGACCGGACAGAAAGTTTCATGATCTCTATTTTGTAAATTAGCAAATGTAGAGACGCCCTCGGTCAGTAGGTATTAGGCGGTCAATGGATACCATTCTTCATTCACTTTGTTTTGGTTAGACAATTTGCTTTGAGGTAGGTAATATCCAGTTGCAGATTTAATTAACGTAATTATTTCCAGGCTATTAATAAACCACTTTGCATAATTATAAATTTAAACGTACCCTCTTATTAGTTCGACAGGCTCATATAACCAGTGCCTCTACCATGAGTTTACCTACCGAGCACCTCGCTATCGAGGACGTAAAAAAATGTATGGCAAATTGTACAGCGCCTCTAGCGGTTAGTAGCTGAACCACAGCAAAACTAAAAACACTACCATGAGTTCATCTCAAATCGTTAGGTAAAAAACCTATCTAAATGAATACGATAGCGACTAAAGTTTTTATTAAGTTTCATACAAATAACTTACCATGAGTTGCAATTTTCAAAGATGTCATCGAAAAATACCTTAGCTGTCACAGTAACGTAACTCACTGGCTTATTGACGTGTGAAAAGCAAAATAAAATTGTGGTTTTAGGTCATTTTAGGTGTTTTCTTTATTAAATTATGTCGGAAAGAAGTTTATTACGATGGAACATGTTATCTGCATGTGGGCAGACCTCCCACTAGGTGGACCGACGATCTGGTGAAGGTCGCGGGAAGAACCTGGATGCGGGCACATTGTGGAGATCCTTGGGGGAGGGAGAGGATGCTGCGTTTCCCAGAGATATGCGAGGGAATTGTGTCGTGCGAAGATGTCTAGCTGTGCTGTGAAAATGTGTGCGGGTTTCCACCAAAGCTGTGCGAGGAAAATGTATCGTACGAGGATGTGTAGCAGAGATTTGAAAATGCTCATTAGTGTTGTACAGCCTGAGCCTTTTCTACCAGAGATGTGCTGACCGAGGCGAGGTAAATGAAGCGATTCTATTGGTTCTTTACAAACACATCCTTCGCTACGCATCCTCGCACATCTCTGGTGGAAACGCAGCCTTACGAGATCATGATAGAAAGCTAATCCGACAATGAATATGTATTTTCATAAGTTGAAATTTACTTTTGTTTTTAATCAGTCTGTGTATTATGTATTAGGTTTTGTGAAATAAATAGTCAATAAAAATTAATCATTTTATTTTCAACTAGCTTTTGCCCGCGGCTTCGTCCGCGTGAAATTTAGTTTGTCACAGATCGTCATAATTATAGCCTATATGTTAATCTGGGTTATAAACAATAATACTGTAAAGTTTCATCAAAATCCGTTCAGTAGTTTTTGCGTGAAAGAGTAACAAACATCCAGACATCCAAACTTTCGCATTTTTAATATTAAGTAGGATATTAGTAGGATATGTATTTACTTAATTATTATTACTGACGAGATTGCTACCATGTATGTTTAGTGACCATGAAAGATTAAAACAATATAATGTATTTAATTAATTATAATATCTTAAGTTTTACAATAATAAGGTAGGTATATCCATCCAGTTACCCTAGGTCTTTATTATGGATTTAATTTACAAGTAGGTAAGCACTCTGCTCTAAACCCTTTGGCTTCAGGGAAGAACCTGGAGCGCCACCAGTCCAGTGTTCCCTTGGCAGCTCTGTGTTTGCGAGTTGCCTTCTTCTTGCTGTTTAAAGTCACTCCACACCTTAAAAAATAAACATTACAAATAATAATGACGAAATAAGATAAAAGCAATCAAAATGAATATAGTAGTAGGTATTTATACACACTTTTCTCAATTTCTCAGTAGT